GTCGACCCCTCCAAACACTGTTAATTCTGCATTTACAACCTCCATTGTATGATAGCCACGTGTAGTATTCATGGGTGATATAGTTCTCCATTTCAAGGTTTCTAGGTTCAATACTTCAACACTGTCAGTAATACTGTCAATAATTCCTCCACCTTGTTTAGTTACTTCAACCACGTCGAACTAAAGTAAATTCCACTTAAAATTAAAATCTTAAATGTTTTCAATACTAACTCCTTCAATTAAAGAGCTATTGAGAAATGTTTATAATTTCTAATATGTAAACAGCTGAATTTGCTTTTCTCATACTTGTGCAAAAAATCAAAACTAGAGGAGATACGAGGTTACAAAGTCTTACTAATAATGTCGCATAAATTTTACCTTCTTCCTATTTGCAAACTGTAATGCAATTCCTCCGCTAACATAAACTTCCCCGTTCAACATCGCACAAGCATGTCCATACCTCTCTATAGATGAGCTTGGAATACTCGTGATATCACCCGTAAATATATTATACTTCTCTGCAACAAGTGTTTTATTACCAAAAGTACCCCCAATAATCAATATTTCTGTGTCGCTAACCGGAACAGCACAGTGGCCTGCTCTCCTGGAAGAAAGTGTATATGGAAGCTTAACCCACACTGCACCATCAAAAATATCCACAGAGTCTAGTGCACCAAAAGGATCTGTGGAGATAGAAGAATATCCCCCAGTGACAAGGATATATGAACCGACTGTTGTCATGGTTTGAAAATATTTTGGTTCATTCATACTTGGAACTGCCACCCAGTTTCCTCGCTCATTCTTAAAACATTTGTCGGTATCATTAAAATTATTAAAATTAAAACCTCCACAGTAGTAAAGCTGGTTATTTAAGACCGCTGCTCCGGGACGATATAATAATAGTACAGTATCAGCAAAAGTTTCTGAACATGAAAAACTTTCTGGTGCAGGTGATGCTTTATTTGATCCTCCGATCAAAACAACACCCTTGTTAGTTGATGGGGTGCAACAGTTGGATCCTCCGAAGAAAAGTCTGGCAGAAGTCTGGGATCTTCCAGTCGGGCAAACACAGGCTACTGGAGTACCAAAGATTGTTGGAGAGGTGGAAATATAGTTAAGAGTGATCAGTACACCAACCTATAAACAAATAGAATTATTTACTTATTTCTTATTTCGCACATTTTCCAGCCACAAGTGTTAAAATGAAAATAAAAATTAATGTTCTTTTCTTATTTATATAACCAGTACCCAGTGATAAAGATGGCCATTATTTAAAAATAAAAATTTATAGGTTGCAGGTTTAATTTTTTTATTCAGTTTTTCCGCTCTGGTTTATTTTTCTCTGAAATCTATGAAAAGATATTTTCAAATTATTAAATTACTCAAATCTGTTCTTTTAGAGAAAAAATTCAAAATTCAGGAAGTTACAAACATCTTTAAACAAGTTCATTTAAAATATGAATAAATTTCACACTTCTCTGCCGCACTACTTTATATATATATGGATATGGTAATCAAAAGTGTGCAACAGAACTTTTGTTCCACTCTAAATAATGGTTACGTATTTTTAAATACCTCTTCATAACTATCATTAATAAAAGAGGATAGTTGAAACCCTTTTAACGAAATCGGTTTTCTTCTCCTGAAAACAATCGTTTCGTTTCAATTCTAAACCAAAACCACCAATTCGTTTTAACAACGATCAATTCATTTTCATGTTTTTTTCATCGTTTTCATTAAAACAATCCTATTTCAAAAAAGTTAAAACTAACGATGATCAATAGACTATAAATAAATCTGATATGAAGCGCAGAAAAAAAGAGAGGAAATATTCATTCTTGATTTATATCATGACCTGAGGCTGTGCAAGACTAGTTTAATATAATGGAAATTTATACTTTCATGTTTTAAAAAGCACTTTAAATAGGTTTATTTTTAAATTCCGTGTTTTTAATTTAATATATGTTTTTTTGTTCAACTATAATGGACTGATTTAATTTCCTTCTAGATTTTTATTATCCAATCAGTCAAAAGTCATAATCAAGCTATTTAGTATAAACAAACAGAGGCGTATTTAGGGGGGGGGGGTGGCAGCTGAGCCCCCTCTGGATCAGTAAAATTGTTGATTCTAAACTATACTAGTGATGTGCATTAAGTTGGTTCGTTTTTTGCTTATATTTATTTCAGGGTCAAAATAATGGCATGTTATATAAGGAAGAGCAACTGCAGTTGCAACAGGTTGAGAACATAAAATTTAACTCTTCGTTTCTGTAATGTCCCATTGTTCACAAACATCGTTCGTAGATTTCCTGGAATTTTTATTGAAAAGACGAAATTTATAGAGTTTGAAGAAATCTGCGAACAAATTCTTAAAGAACATGAAATTCAATATAATGATGAAAATGAAATAATTAAAATAACATTGATTGATTGACAAATTTCTATGGAGAAATATGTTCCTAAACAGTAAAAATATAATTAGCATTTTTGTTGCATTTTTTGTNGATTTTAAAGATTGAATTTACGCTCTTGCTAAACAAATTTGCACCGTAAAACGTTTCAAATGAATCCTAAAAAAATTCTCTATAACACAGCATTCTCAGGCTCTCAGCTCAACTACAAAGTCTATAGCCTAACACTCCCTCTAAAGGGACAGACCAGCTATTGAAAATCTAAATACTATAAAAATATCATGACTAAGTAATGTTGACTTTGATTGATTGATTAAGTAAAGGCAACAGAATTGATTTATTCGACTAGTATTGAACCCTTAGTTCTTCTGCAAATAATAATCAAATTGAGTGTTGTACCTTGTTATACTACAGTAACATCTATATATAAATTTGGCTTGTCTGTTTGTCTGTCTGTTTGTATCCGATAAACGTCAAAACGGCTGAACCGATCGGGCCCAAATTTTTTGTGGGACATCTAGGGACTCCAGGGAAGGTTTATGAATCATCAAAATTTCAAATATTTGTCTCCATCAAAATTCGATCGTCATTAAATTTTTAAAAATTTTGAAAATCC